TATTACCATGTTTTGTGGATACTACTTATTCAAATTTAAACACTACTAATTCTTTTCCTTATAAGAAAAGATTGACTCAAAATGTTTGGCTAGTATAAGACCGGATCCAAAAAACTACATATAATTCAAGATGATACACTCTCATTTAAGTTTATTCCAAATAAGTTATTGTTGACAATAAAAAAATCTCTAATTAAAACTCTTTAGCAATGCCTAGAAACAAAGTAATATTTGCTTTGATTGAAAATGAAACTGATAGAAAAGTCTCATACAAGAAAAGACACAAAGGGTTCTTGAAAAAGGCACAAGAACTCATGACTCTTTGTGACATTGAAATGGCTGCCATCATCTATAGTCCTTATAGTGATGAACCTAAGGTGTTTCCCAATCATCGTGCTGCAATCAACACCTTTCGAAAGTTTAAAGAATTGTCAACATTAGAGAGATCAAAAAATATGGTGACAAGAGATGAATTCACTGAGGAAAGAATCAAGAAGTTGGAGAAAAAACTACTAAAGGTAAGAAAGGAAAATAGGGTAAAGGAAATTACGAATGAGATGCATGAAGTTTTGAATGGAAAAATTATTTCTGTTGACATGAATTCTTACTATCTCAACGATCTAAGTTACGTGATCAAGAAGAACCTTGAACTGGTACATGAAGCAATAACAAAGAATGTTAGTGATGAGGGGTCTACATCCAATGTCCCTCAATCCACGCCTTCAACAACAATGACGTATATGATACCTTCATCAATTATAGATCCTCCACTGTATGCTCCAGTTCCTTCTCCAATTACACCACAAATGGACCCTTCAGAAGAGATCCCCCCAATGGGTACATTAATTCAAATGAATAGCTCCCAGTACTACTCTAGTGACAATCCAGAAAGTCCTTCATTGATTAAGTTACTAAATTGGAATAATGATGATATCGTGACTTTGCTGGATGACCTCTCACTAAATAATATTAATGATCAATATCCACACCCCACCAATAATATATTAAGTCTTTGGACTAATGTGTTTTGCTAATTATTATTATTATTATTATTATTATTATTATTATTATTATTATTATTATTATTATTATTATTATTATTATTATTATTATTATTATTATTATTATTATTATTATTATTATTATTATTATTATTATTATTATTATTATTATTATTATTATTATTATTATTATTATTATTATTATTATTATTATTATTATTATTATTATTATTATTATTATTATTATTATTATTATTATTATTATTATTATTATTATTATTATTATTATTATTATTATTATTATTATTATTATTATTATTATTATTATTATTATTATTATTATTATTATTATTATTATTATTATTATTATTATTATTATTATTATTATTATTATTATTATTATTATTATTATTATTATTATTATTATTATTATTATTATTATTATTATTATTATTATTATTATTATTATTATTATTATTATTATTATTATTATTATTATTATTATTATTATTATTATTATTATTATTATTATTATTATTATTATTATTATTATTATTATTATTATTATTATTATTATTATTATTATTATTATTATTATTGTTGTTGTTGTTGTTGTTGTTTTATATGTTCATGTGGTCTCATGGACAATTTATGTGTTTAATGTTTTGCATGTCTAAGTGTGGTATATGATTCTCCACATCACTTTTTATTTTTCCTTATATTATGGGTCTGGTGTTTGATGAGTTATTTTTCAAAGTTTGTTATTTCACTCACTTATTAAATATATGAACAATTTACATGTTTACTAGTTTGTGATTTATTCATTCATTTGCACTTTATTGTTGTGATTATTCAAATATTGTTGTTGGTACTGTTTCCAAAAAAAAAAACCTCTTGCACTTTAAAAGTTAAAGAAATTGATTCATGTATTAGATAAATTTTAACTCTAAGCTTTTTAGAGCAAAACAATAACACATCTAAAATTGAATATGAATTTAAACATTAAACAAAATTATCTAGAAGACCTATAAAATATCTATTTTGAAATAATAAGGTGAAGTAAGAGATTCATTAACTATTTGGCTTTATTAAGTTAAAAGAAGTCATGTCTTCTGGTTTAATTTAACTGTTTATAATTAATTTTTGTAATCCAAAATTTGATAATTGTATCATCACATTTGTTAATTGGTTAAATTTTTTCATAAAAAATAGATTACTTTTTAAAAAAATTAAAAAAATTGGGGTGTGAAAGGGGAACTAGGGGTGGGGATTATGATGTGGAGAATCGAACCCTCACAAAAAATGAGGGTTCCTAGGTAGAGATTATAACTATGATATTCTAGCCTAAAATATATTATATAAAATATTTTCTCTATCGAAACAAAACCGTGTAAGTTAATATTTTAATTTAATTTTTACTCATTTGTTCGTAAAATTAGAAATGTTGAAATATGAAAAATTATTAAGATAATATAACAACTAATCAAATATTATGAATTTCTACTCTAAATTTAAGAATAAAGAAATGACAACAGTATGTGATATTACTTGTCTCGACCAGATTTTCCGAGTCATAATGGCACATAGTATAACCCCTCAGTAGGTAAGCCAACTCGTACCCAGAACAACAAGTAATGATATAAGAGTAAAACTAAGCAGAAATAACACTAGCTTTAAGAATAAGATATACACCGAAGAAAACCAAAAACTATATTTATAAGAAATTGTCCCAGAAACTAGAAATCATGAGTACAAAGCTATGTTATATGAAAATACAAGTCCCAAAAGTGGAACACAACAAGATCTCTCAAAGGAAAAATAATAGCTGAACGTATATACACAAAAAGATATATTGATCCAAGATGCCAAGTGCTCATCCTCGTTTATGATACCCAAATGTTGTAAAAGATAACACAAACCATCACCGTTGATAGTTGGTACTTGGACCTGCATCACGGAAAAGATGCAGAGTATAGCATGACTACTAAAACAAAGGTACTCACAGGCATTATCGACCGACTGAGCAAGAGAGGTTAAAACACTATGAATAGATAGAATCTAGACGCAACAATAGGTCGAAGAGAATATAAAGGAAAGCATACGAGCATACCTAAGTACTGCTAAACTAAACTTAACTTGACCTCCATAAGCACAAAAGGTACTCATGTGCATGTTTATGCAAAACCCGAACGGATCCCTATAAGCCCGGAAGGTACGCAAAATAGCTAAGTCCACTAAGAGAAGAGTACCACAAACCTAAAGTTGGGCTCCCAGCCTAAATAACCATCGTATCTAGTCAATGTTAGCCCAGCTCGCAAGACTGACAATCAATCTAGGCCGCCCAGCCAACAAGTCCACTCCTAGGGGCGTAAGCTGCCCAACTAGAAAGAGGATTCGTTCGGAACCCAATACACATAAATGAGATATGCAAACGAATTAAAATGACATGTTGGACTCAATGGAGCAGACAAAATTTCCATACAGGGTTGTCTTGACAGAATATGGGTCTCATACCAAACCTAATTTCAAGCTAAAATCCATAAGGGGCACAAAATTAACCCCAAGGCCTCGAGATCCAAACAACGGGTCATTTTAGATCAAACACAACCTTCCGAAGCTAATTGAGCTGGAGAAATTCTCATCCAATCTCGTCTACTCAGAATTTTGACAAAAGTCAAACTTAGGTCTTAACTTGGAAGTTAAAAATGTCTAATCGCAAAGACTCATATTGAAAGACTCGTGAGTCACAGAGACAATGTGACTAGCTTAATTTGACCATTACAAAGTTGATGAAATTTTCATAATTGGATTCTAAGGTCATTTCTTAAACTCTATCAAAACTGACTGTAAAAATTTCAAAAGCTCCAAGACACTAAAACTTACATATAAATCAATAAAATGACCAAGTGACCGAATTGATAGTTCCATTAAGTCATAAAATGACTTGGGATCGCTTTATGAATGTTTTAAATGACGAACAGGTGACATAAATACAATATTGACCAGGATGTTATTACAACATAGTCTACTAAAAAGGACTTTCATCCGCGAAAGTAAAGGTCAAGAAGTAGTTGAAGGCTTAAACAAGCTAGGAAAGTGCTCCCGGATATCAAGCTTGATCTCCCGGATAGACTCCTCAACCTGAAGATGCCTCCAGTAGACCTTATCCACAATAAAGGATCTTGAACACAATTGGCACACATCTTTGGCAATAATATCAACTGGCTCCTCCAAGAAAGTCAAAAACGCATCGAACTCTACTTCATCATACTAAAGCACATGAGACTCATTAAGAACATATTGGTGCCTCCATAAAACATGAAAGATTGGGTGGATAGCAAAGAATATTGGAGGTAGAGACAACTCGTATGCAACCTCACCAACTGTCTAGATGATCTCAAAAGGCTCAATATACCTTGGGCTAAGCTTTCCCCGCCTCCAAAATCTCATCACAGCATTCATGGGTAATACATCGAAGAAGAAGGTATCACCAACTGAGAACATCAAAGGCCTACGACTAGCATAACTTATGTGCCTACTATAAGCTATCTAAATCTTGTCTTGAATCACCCTCACCTGGTCCAATGCCTTATAAATCAATTCTATACCACGCGGCCTAGGCTATGTACACTCAAGCTAACCAACCAAAGAATGACAATGCCTATAATATACATAACACCTAAGAAATGGAAAAGCCAAAGTTGTAAAAGAAATGTCTCATTTTGAGCTACTCGTTGTTTCCTACCATACCAATCTATGGTTTGTAAAGGTTTTATGGGTCGTAGATGGATCTGGAAGGTGTGAGGTTGGATATTTTGAAATTTCATATTTCTGATATTTGACATACGAGTAGCCAGGACGAGTCGCAGGAGGTTTGATGGGTCGTAAGATGGTTCCGTAGAACGATTCTAGACACAGTAGAATTGTCACATACCGAGGCTACAGCCTGGGCGTAAACACGAGACCTAGGATCACGAATAACCTCAAGCTAGCCCCGAGCTGGCATATCATAAGCGAACTGAATATATCTATGAAAAGATGAACTAATGCGTAAGCTAAACAAGAGATAACTGAATGATGGGGAATACCCAAAACTGGGCTGAATATATATATATATATATATATATATATATAATTCTATGAGTTTAGTGATACTGAACAATCACTCAAAAACTATTGTTGAATCTAAACTATGTTTGAAAAAGCCACTAATGACTAGAGTTGTTGGGACATTTCCCGAGCTAAGCCTAGCAGAACTAAACCTAAAATGAAAGACAAAATTTGAAAACATGTCTATTGTCCTCGAATTATGAGGACTCACCACAAAAGTTGATGAATGTGGATTGGGAACCGATCTACGCGTTATCTGAACGCTGAGGACTGGAACCTACATCATGAAAGGATGTAGCACAGATTATGCGTAGGTACTTGAATGGTACTGAGCATGCAAGATAGGATAAAAGCTTAACAGAGCATAACTGAGCAATGATACTCTAAACATGATGGAAATACTAATACATGCTGAACAGAACTGAACTAAATTCAATGGCCAAGTACATAACATGATGAGACTGAATACTGAAGTGTAACTGAAAACCTGGTCAAATGCACTAGAGTGTGAGTGTGGGGGCTATTATTAACCGGCATAACCCCCACATGAGCTAACAGTGGTATCTGATGTATACACCCCATCGAAGGGCCCGATATACCTTGCCCGGGTATAAAGGAATGACTGGTATTATCACTAAAACTAATGCCCACAGAGGGGACTTAACCTACTGAGGCACGTAGTTCTGGGACTATGAGGGTACGCTGAAACCCTAGTCCACTCGGTGC